ATTTATATATAAATTTATATATAAATTTAATCACATACCTATATATATTTAAATTTATATTAAATTATATTATAATATAATTATATTATATTTATTTCTATGTATTATTTCCCTTTTGTTACAATTTTCTTCAAAATGTTACATATTGTCACTAGATGTCAGCACATTTTATATTTTCGTTGCAGCAACACTGGAGACCTATAAGGCTGCGTATAGAATTTTTATCTGAGTGTTTTTTCATCCTTGTTTAACATTCGTGAACAACAAGGGTAAAACGACATCTTTGTGCATCTAAAATGCGATTCTGAACGCAGCCTAACCGCAATGTAATCACTTGATCTTCAGTGAACGGACACTGTAGCGTATAGATTATTATGTAAAATGTTAGAAATCTCAAATGCCTTCATTATAACTTGTTATTAAATGAAAAATAAGTACGCAAAGTGCGAATAAGAACAGCGTAAACTCGAATGTTCATGAAAAATGAATATATTGTGAGATACTTGAATCAAAAAGAACACATGTTGCGAAGAATACGAACGCGAACATAGTGCTGTTCGAGTAATAATCAGTAATCCGAATCATTATTATAAGGCCTTTTTGGCTGAACTTTTAGCATTAATTTATCTTTCTCCTTCTTATTTTCTTCTGAAGAGAAAAAGAAAAAAGATAAACAGGTGTAAAAGTTCAGCTAAAAAGAACAAGCCTATAATTATGTGATTTTAAGTTTCTGAAATTAGAAAAGCACAACTGCGTTTAATTGCATGATGAGATCGTGATGCTGAGTTAGCATCTACTATGTAATTCAAAGCGCGAATATATGTATAAGTGTGCGTGTAATGTTTAAATTTAATAAACTTTACATCTCTGTCTCTCTCTCTCTCTCTCTCTCTCTCTCTCTCTCTCTCTCTCTCTCTCTCTCTCTCTCTCGTTATTAAAAAGTATCTTAGTGAATATTAAAAAAAAAAAAGAATCTTTCCTTCACTCACACATGCACATACACATACACACACACACGCGCGCGTACACAGAAAAAAACCTAAGACCGGTATTCATAATAATTTAAGGCTGTCTTAAGTACAGTCTTAAAATGTTACGAACCAATCAGAAAGTCGTATTAGCATCTTAAAACGATCTTAAAATAAGAACCAACTATGAATCCCGACCTAAGAGCAGTAATCCTGACCTTTTTTTATGTCTATTTTGTGAAACTGTAAATATAAAATCGTATTGAAAATAGATGTGTGGCATGTCCTTGCTAATAACAGCCAATCCTGGCAGCTCTTATTAGCACGGACATACACCACATTCATTTGTACACTAATTGTAAGAAAAAAACTATTTGATATTTGTAACTATAATTTTTTTAACGTTCCTTTAACTCCTACATAGAACAATATAGGGCCTCTAATAAAGTTTCATTAATAATCGATCTTTTTCGGGAATTAAGTTGTTAGTCTAATATCCAATCCCCAGTTTGGGGAATTCATACATGTATCTACAGATATATGAGACAGTTTAATGCCAGATTCGAACGGCGCTGGTGATCAAAGGTTTCTTACTAGGTGAAGCCATTTTCGACCTCAAACGCAAAAATCACGTATGTTATATGATTTTTCATCGGTGGGATAAATAACTATAACTATAACTATAATTATTTATAATTCTAGTCATTTTGCTAACTATATATATTGGGGCGTGTTCGGATTCCCACCCAATACTTCCCTGGCGTTATGTCATCCTTGTTTAATATTTGGTAAACAACAAGGATGCAGTGATATTTGGATGACAGTTAAATAGGAATCTGATCCCAGCATTGGTGAGTTATGTATATAGTTATTATTACTAATACTATAGTAGTCATAATCATAATTATATACATAGTAATATGAAATTATAGTTATACCAAACAATTTTTCTCTCAATGTTAATAATAACGTTAATTCATTGCTGTCAATTTGATATTGAGAGGTTTTTTGTTGTTATTTATATTCATTTTGCAAGTAACGAATTTGAAACTGGGATATTTTGACAATAAAGTAGCAATAAATTCCTACGTTATTTTACATTTTTTATTTATATTGTTCCGCTAACTTAATCTTTCTTTAGCGGAGATAATTTTAAATATATAATTTTTTAGAAAATTTGCAAAGCAACAAATTTTTTCTTTAATAACTTTTTAACAACAAATAAAAATATTAGGTAGAATTAATTCTGTTCACTTTTTGTTCCATTATCTTAGAAGATGCGTGAAATGAATACCGAAGGAGTCTGACACTCCAAGAGTCCAGAAAGAAATCCAGCCACAATCCAGCCATAAGTCAACTATAGACTATAATGTATCTTTGTCTCTGGATAAGTAAAAGTGACTGACGACTGGAGACTGCAATAAAAAGATTTTGATAAATATTGTGAATTAAATTTATCACAATATGGAGGAACTTATAACAATAAAAGTAGAGAAAGATCCTCGATCCAACGAATAATTATGGATGTGACAGAAAAAGATGTCGATATCATTAGCACCAGCGAGGAATATATATAAAATCAAATAACAAACAACGATGAAGATATAAGTCCGAAACGACAAAGAGTTAACGTGACGGAAAATAAAGATACATTCCCGATTCTTATCACAAATCATAGAATCGAAAATGAAACGGAGGAGGCTACACACGAAGAACTCTCTGAAAGTGATGAAAATAATGAAGTCAATGATGACTCATCTTTTTCAGTCCAATCTGAAGATATCTGGCAGATGGATCTACCGGAAAAGCCAGAGCATGCAAAAGAAAAAGAAAAACAAGTTAAAAAGCGAAAATTAAAATCGAAACAATGGATTGAAATTTTAAAAGAGACGAATGCGATTTTTGCGAATTCTTCAGTAATTGAGTTACTCGGTAAAAGTAAAAACAATAATGAACAACTTGAAATTATTAATGAAACTCTTGAAGACAGAAATAAATTACTTAATTATAAAAATAATAGCAAAAACCAAATTACAAGTCAATTTAATCACAATTCAATTTGATAAATTCAACATAAATCCTATAATAGTAAATAAAATAAGCGAAATTAGCCGTAAGTTACCATAAATTACCATTGATAATATTAATAATGCAAATAGTTGTCCAACGAAGGCAGATCGACTACTTCTGGCGAGATAGCTCAAAGTCCATATTTATGGGTTTAATGGTTTAAATAATTCTTTGCGGACAATTAGAAATAGGGTTCAATATAAACAAGAAGTAGGACGTAAACGTAAGCATTCGCGAAAGCAACAAGTGATGGATTCATCCTCGGAAACATCCACAAGTTTAAGCCATATCGCGCAGTTGGAGACTGATGAGAAGATATTGTTACAAGAAATCGAGAATGAGCTGAACAAACAGAAAATTTTATTGCGTAAACAACGTATCGAAGTCGTGTGAGAAATTGTATGTAATTTGAAAAAGAAAAAATGCCTATAAACAGGTAGATGACGAACAAACACGGATAACTACAACGATAAATACATATCGACAGCTCAAAAGTCAAAATACCTTTTATGAAGATAATTTTGTTATTAAAGATCAAGTAGGTTCCGAAGCATGTCGATTTAATGTAAAGTTTACGATCGAAGATTTGCGATCGAAGAGCTACAAAGGAGCACGCAAGGAGTACACAGAATAATTTACGACTTCGTAGAGGGACAATTAAAACGTACCCTAAGCTTAGGGGCCGCAAGACAAATCAACAGATAATACCTCAATATCTACAGGAAATACAACCATCAACATCTAAGAACGAGACAGGTATTGAAAGAAGACGATCAGCAAGAATGAAAAGAAGTTCTATCTTTTCGTTCAAAGAGGAAATAAAACAAAAGGCAAAAAAAAATGTTGCTCAGCGAAAAACGCAGGCAACAGACATTTAATCAAGTTCGTGGAAGCAATAGCCGATTTCTCAAGATAAACGAGGATACACCGAAGACAATCAAACAAGTGAAACCAAGAAAAGTGAAACCGTCGAATATTTTTAAGTCTCGACGATCTAAGAAATAAGTGAACCTGCGCA